AGGAAACACTAAAGGGGAGGGGCCCACTCTGTCCAAGGATGCCCAGGAACAAATTTGTTCCAGAAGGTCACCCTTGGGTCCTTAATTTTGAGACAGGCTGGCAACCATGTGGGGAGCCCTCCATGTGGCCCTGACTTTACACTGACCTCTGACCTGCGTTATCTAACAACCTCATGCCAACTACAGGGGGTAGGTACCCAGCTGAGCCCCACGGAGCTCAAGTGACTTCTCTCAGGTCCCACAGTGAGAGTTGGGATTCAAGCCCAGGACTGTGTGACCCTAGGGCCTGTGTTCCCAATCCTGATCTTCGGGCCTGGGAGCACCAAGAGGAGACGTCTGGTGAGGGGCAAGTTTGGGCTCTTCCACTTGTCATGGGGGGCACTGGTGGGCGAAGCGCTGGGCTTCAGGAACCTGGGGACCCCACAGAACATTCCTTTCAGGCTTCTGGGGCTACTGCCTTTAGCTGATGTTTATATTATCGTGCTGAGAAGGCCAGAGCTCTGGTTATATCTTACTTGCCCATCCTTTGCTCCCTCCCAGATAAACAAGACATTTAGTACCATCTCCCACCTCAGTGGTCAGGGGTGGTGTGTTAATGACATGACAATGCACATGATAGACAGGACTCTTTGGTGGCGTGTGGGGTAGGGTGACATCTGTTCTTTCCCTGGCAGAGGGATGGAGGTGACCACTACAGGACCCAGAAGCCTCAACTATGACTTAGCAATAACAAAATAGTAACCAGGGTCCCTTACATTGGACTCAACAACTCCCAAAGCAAGGTCACGTGCTTGATCTCCTTCTATCCTCTGGTAGCCTCCTGCGGCTCCAGATTGTTACCATGTCCCAAATAGGACTCAAAGAGACGTGACTTCTCCAAGGTCACACGACTTGGGTGTCTGACCCCGCATCTGAACTCATTTCTAGTAAACTCCATGGCTCTCTGCTTTGCCACCGCCACTTGACCTACAATATCATCACCTTCTCAGGCCTAACTGAACCCTACTGATACCCCCAACCTATAGCGAGTCCCTGGCCTGGGGAGCGGCAGCTGTCCCTCCAGTCAAGGGTCTGTGGAGACAGCACCCCCCTCACCTCCAGAGCCTGGGAGCTGCCATCTTGGGAGGATGTGCAACCCTGTACATGCCTAGCGAGCTTGCTGAGAGGTTTCCAGAGCGCGGTTTGGGGCCAGGGTTGTATGTAGGCAGGTGAAGGGAGGGCTGCAGATAGGGACCATTCATTCATCTAGCTGACTGTGGGCCAGCTCACCAATCAGACACCACTCTGTCACCGAGAAGCTGAGGGGTGACCTGCTGTTTTACTCTCTAGGTGCACTGGCTGCCCTGAGCCTGGATGCACATTAACTCCCTCAGAGGAGGTCTCATAGCCTGGAGCCCGGGGCTTTTCCCCACAGTGGTGGGGCACCTTGTCCTGAGCTCCCAGGGATTTTCCCAGGCCGCTCAGCAGAGGTTGCCCTGCCTGAGAAAGGGCTCCAGGTGGTTCCCAAGAACGGGGAACTGAGGAATGAAAGAGCCTCTGCCCAGTGGGGGAGGCAGGGGACTGAATGGCCCAGGGCGGAGGCAGGGCCTCAGGTTGCTGAGGCCCCGCTCCCAACTGTGCGGACCTCAGGCCCTGGTGACACCCTGAGGTGCCCATTCAGGATCATATCTGACAACCGCAGTGGGGGGAGAAGCTGGGGGTGGGGGACTCAGGATAGAGATGGGAAGTCACAGTGCATTTGTGGGAAGGTGCCTTGGAGATTAGCTCATTCCAGAAAACGAAATGGCCTGCCAAGAGACAGACTTATGGCCAGCGCCAGACTAGATGAATGGAGCCTTCGACTCTTCTCTAAGGAAATAGGACTAACCGGTGTAACGGACCCTAGTGGGGCTGGGGAGTGTGCTAAATGCCCAGAGCCCCATGCGGACCTGCCTCAGGAAGGTGCCAGGCCCCTGTGGTTGTGAGGATCACGTGCACCCAAATCCCAAGGGTGGGCCCCAGCACCTGTGACAAGCAGAGACCTGTACTTGCCCCCCCACCCCCGCCTGAGGGCTTATAGGTCAAGTTACACCAAAGGTGCAGTTAAGACCCCAAATCCCCTACAGAGTCAGGGGCTTAGAGTTTGCCAGAAATTTCAAGCTTCAGGGTTTTTTACTATGTTAATTTCCTGTGATTATCAATAGAAAGCCCTAGTCTGAAAGGCCCCAGCAAAACTTCACCTCAGCAGACACAGGAGGAAAAGGCCACCCAAAATTCACAGGTCTGGGGTCCCAGATATCAGAGAACATCAGCACTTTCTTCCAATCAAGCCTCCCGCCAGGGCACTAGCACTGCGGTGGGGAGTGGTGTCCAGAAGCATCTGACCTCCTTCCCTGGCAGCGGGTGTCCACTGTGGGCCTCCAGAGGCCAGGATGGGGTTTTCTTCAGCCCTGTGCCCACAGGCAAACTTCAAAGAAGGTTAAACGTTTGTGGAAGAAGCCTCAAAGGCAGTGTACTAACTCCCAGGAGGGGCAAGAATCCCAAAGAGAAGGAAGGACTTGGTCCTTGGAGGTATGCTTAATTGATATGTAATCTACCTGGGAAGGCCAACTCCCAGACACCTGTGAAAAGAACGGATTACAGTCAGCTAGCCCTAATGACAAACTAATTTGTTTTAAATAAAGGGGAAGGGAAGGGAAGGGAAGGGAAGGGAAGGGAAGGGAAGGGAAGGGAAGGGAAGGGAAGGGAAGGGAAGGGAAGGGAAGGGAAGGGAAGGAAGGGAAGGGAAGGGAAGGAAGGGAAGGGAAGGGAAGGGAAGGGAAGGAAGGGAAGGGAAGGAAGGGAAGGAAGGGAAGGGAAGGGAAGGGAAGGAAGGGAAGGGAAGGGAAGGGAAGGGAAGGGAAGGAAGGGAAGGGAAGGAAGGGAAGGGAAGGGAAGGGAAGGGAAGGGAAGGGAAGGGAAGGGAAGGAAGGGAAGGGAAGGAAGGGAAGGGAAGGAAGGGAAGGGAAGGGAAGGAAGGGAAAGGGAAGGGAAGGGAAGGGAAGGGAAGGAAGGGAAAGGGAAGGAAGGGAAAGGGAAGGAAGGGAAGGGAAGGGAAGGGAAGGAAGGGAAGGAAGGAAGGGAAGGGAAGGGAAGGGAAGGGAAGGGAAGGGAAGGGAAGGGAAGGAAGGGAAGGGAAGGAAGGAAGGGAAGGGAAGGAAGGGAAGGGAAGGGAAGGGAAGGGAAGGGAAGGAAGGGAAGGGAAGGAAGGGAAGGAAGGAAGGGAAGGGAAGGGAAGGGAAGGGAAAGGGAAGGGAAGGAAGGGAAGGGAAGGGAAGGGAAGGGAAGGGAAGGAAGGAAGGGAAGGGAAGGGAAGGGAAGGGAAGGGAAGGGAAGGGAAGGAAGGAAGGGAAGGGAAGGAAGGGAAGGGAAGGGAAGGAAGGGAAGGGAAGGGAAGGGAAGGGAAGGGAAGGAAGGGAAGGGAAGGAAGGGAAGGGAAGGAAGGAAGGGAAGGGAAGGGAAGGAAGGGAAGGGAAGGGAAGGGAAGGGAAGGGAAGGAAGGGAAGGGAAGGGAAGGGAAGGGAAGGGAAGGGAAGGGAAGGAAGGGAAGGGAAGGGAAGGGAAGGGAAGGGAAGGGAAGGGAAGGAAGGAAGGGAAGGGAAGGGAAGGGAAGGGAAGGGAAGGGAAGGGAAGGAAGGGAAGGGAAGGGAAGGGAAGGAAGGGAAGGGAAGGGAAGGGAAGGGAAGGGAAGGGAAGGGAAGGGAAGGGAAGGGAAGGGAAGGGAAGGGAAGGGAAGGGAAGGGAAGGGAAGGGAAGGGAAGGGAAGGGAAGGGAAGGAAGGGAAGGGAAGGGAAGGGAAGGGAAGGGAAGGAAGGGAAGGGAAGGGAAGGGAAGGGAAGGGAAGGGAAGGGAAGGGAAGGGAAGGGAAGGAAGGGAAGGGAAGGAAGGGAAGGGAAGGGAAGGGAAGGGAAGGGAAGGGAAGGGAAGGGAAGGGAAGGGAAGGGAAGGGAAGGGAAGGGAAGGGAAGGGAAGGGAAGGGAGGAGGTGCCTCCTGAGAATCTCCCAGGTTTTCATGGGACAAATAGGACTTGAGCTGTGAGGGGACCTGGGATGGGCGAGCGAATTCGGGAGGGGGAGATGGAGGGAGGGCTTAGAACGGGCAGTACTGAGGGGAAGGGCCAGCAGACGGGCCCCACAGAGGGTCCCATCCAAGGCCACGTTGGTAGGAGGGAGAGCTTGACACCTCCACTACCTCCACCCCACTTCCTTGAAAACCCAGGTGAGGGAGCAGCTAACAGCAAGGGGACTTTGTGCTGTGTCCACTTTCCTGTGTAATGTTCCATGGCTGGCACTGGTGAGTGGTTATCCTTTACACATGGAAGCTATTTCTCTAAAGAGTCAAACCCAAGGCAGGCTTTCTCCTAGAACACAGGCCCCGGGATGCAGGAGTTCATCCCTGTAAGCTTCACGTGGAGCAGAATTTAGCCTCCGCAGATAATTAGGCAAAGGGTACGGCTGGAAAGGCAGGGCGACCGGAGATAGGTCGCCAGTCAACACCCTCATCAAACTAGTCCGAGCCTGGCCTCAGGGCTGGCTGCTCCACGCCCCTCTCGTTTCCAGGATGTCTGGGATGGAATCCAGGATCCAGACGGTGCGGATCCTCTCCTCGGGCTCCCATCTCCAGTCGGTACCAGGGGGAGGAGGCGGGGTTATCTGTGTCTGCTCACCTCTCGCAAAGGCAAGAGCCTCAGGAAGACTTCGAGTTGAGCCCTCCCCCCCAGGAGAGTTGCGCCCTAGGCCTCAGGGCTCCAGGTGGTACTGGGTCCCAGAGCGGAGCAAGGCGGGGTCTCCCCAGAGCCGCCCCCCAGCCCCGGGCCTGGCTCCAGCCTCCCCGCCTCGCGCTCTGAAAGCCTCAAACTCTCGGATTTGAACGGAGAAGGCCCAGTGGCCGGGCTGCGGCTCCCTCCGGCCATTGGCTGCGGCGGTGCCGTGACGTGATGGGGGGCGGAGGTGCGGGCGGAGCCTGGAAGGGGAGTGTCCCCGCGGCTAGAGCCCTGGAAGCTGGAGAGAGAGGGAAACCAACGCCGGCGCTGACATGGGCAGCCTGCCTCGGCGCCGCGCGGAGCCCACTCGGCGGAGAAAGCAGTGCTGCGCGCCAGGCGCTCGCGTCTCTGGGGACCCAGGTAGGCGACTGTGACAGGCACCTGCGCCCTGCGAAGCTCGAGTGGGCTCGGCTTGGGGGGCTCGAGCCTCCCCATGGGGCAGAAAGGATTGAAAAAGCCACGATAGGGGCCGTGGGTCGGGGACCAGGGCACCGAAACCCACCTGCTCCGCGCCGCCACTTATCACCGCGCCGCCCGCGGATTGCAGGGCTGAGGCTGGGGACGGGAGCCATGAATCCTGTTGTCCAGCCTTGTGGGGTTTGGGGAGGAGGATGTGGCAGAGAGCCGGGCGAAGCCTCGCTCCGACCTGATTTCCTCTCCCCAGACCGGCGCTCTCCAGCACGGCCAGGGCGCTGGGGTAGGGGTGGGTGTGAGGGTGGGGTGGGATGGGTGCCGCGTTTAAAGGTCCACCCCCTGCCCGGGAGTGGGGTGTGTGTCGGCACTAGAGTCCGCGCCGCACAGCCCGCGGGCTCCCGAGGGGGGCGTGTGTGCGCACGGAGTTCTCCATGAATAAGAACAGGATTATTCGCTTGTCGTGGCAGAAGCGTGCACACGCGCTCTCACTCTCGTACACACACTGCAGCACACGCCACCCAATGTCACCGGACTTGAGAGAAGAGAGAAAGACCCTCCTGGAAGGGAATAGCTGAGGAAACAAATACTATCCCGCCCCCCACCGCCTTCCCCAGCCAGATCCAGCCCCGCCTGCCTCCTCGGGAAGACCGTGAGCCCGCGGCGGGGTGGGGCCCAGCGGAGCAGGCAGCTTCTTTGGAGTCTGGGGACAGGACTATGCGTGGGACCTGCTTCTGGCGTGGCCGAGGGCCTGGAGCGGTTGGTTAATGATTTAATCTCCGGTTTGGGGCGGTCGAGCTGCGATTAGCCGTCTCTGGCTCCTCCCGCTCCTTGGAGCGCCCCCAGCCGAGGGTACAAAACTGCCCTATGCCCGTGGTGCTCCCCCCGTCCCCCACCCGTTGGCTTCCCTCTGGGCTGTGCCGCCGCAGCCAGTCACCAAACCCGGTCGGGAGAGGGGGCGGTAACCGGGAGCAGGAGTTGGAGGGCCGAGACTGGGCAGGCTTCCTGGGAAAGTACCCAGCCGGAGCCTGGGTTGTGCGTGAGACGCGGCGGGGGGCGGGGGGGCGGCCGTTGGGGGGAGGGGTGCCCTCTGCTAACTCAAACCAGATTCCTTGTTTCCCGATGAGATACTGCAGTCTGGGCTTTGGAAGTTTTCTTTCTCTCACTGGGAGAATAGAGAGGAAATACAATGCTTTTTCTTTTCTTGTTGTCACCCCTTGCAATCTGACCAGCTCCCATGGCCCCCCTGAGGCGTCCGCGGTGCCCATTCTTTGCCCTTGTGCTTGAGCAGTTGAATGGGGAGAGCGTCCCTGAGCTCTGGAGCCCCTGGCTCCAATCTAGAGAGTCTGGGGTGCATCTGGACCAGAGAAAGCTTTCCTCATCCAGCCCGGATAAACAATGAGGGGCCCCGTTGCAGGAGGGCCTCCCGCAATGCAACTTTGCACAGCCTGGGTTTCTAATAACTCCCCACGCCTCCGCCCCTTTTTGAGGCTGGGGTGGAGGAGGGGACCACCGGCAGGATGGACTGAATTTTAAGAGAACAAAGAACAGGGCACAAAGGAAGGTGGAGCTGTGCTGTGAATTTCCCCCAAAAGGGGAGTTTGTGGGCCCAGCCAGACCTCTGCGTGACCCCAGGGCTCCTGAAGCAATAAATGGAGCATCTGCAGGCCACTTGTGAGGCTCTGTCCTCTGGGGTAGCTTGGACCCTGCTGTGGGTGTGGGGCTGCCATGTGGGTTCCAGCTTTCATCAGCTGCCCTGTGTGAGCGCCATGTGACCAACAGATTAGAGTGGTTTATCTCCTCCCAACTTGGACTTCGCCCCTCCACTCCTTGAGGACAGTTGCTCCTTCCCACAACGGGGTTTCAGGGAAACTTGGGAGATACCCACCCTCCTTCTCCTGGTCTTCCTGGGGGTTCCTGGGAGGGACCCAGTGTGACAAAGTGAGCCTACTCCCAGGAGGCAGCCATTTGGGGTGGGTCCCAGCCCCTGAGGTCACAGACCCCTGGTCACTGATGGCCAAATGCTCAAGCTATTCTTTCTAGCTCAGGCCTCTACTTTGAGTATTCCTTCCATTATCTGGGGTTTCCATCTTGCCCCTCAACACCCACCTACCAGTGCTCATCCCAAGCTGTTGTCCCAGCCTAGCCAGGATTAGAGACCCCAGAGACCCAAGCAGATGAGTCTTATCTACAAAATGAGGCAGGGTGGGGCTGGGCAGAAGTTGACCTGGAGGAGGATCTTAGACCCTTCTGTACTAGTGAAGAGCCTGGGATTGGGTCTGGTTCAGTGAGTTTAGTCCCCGCCCTCCCCCTTTTGGTTGATTGATTTCTGTAGCCAGGACAGGCTGTGCCCAGGTGTGGCAGGCATGGCGTTTGCAGCCTTTCTCCTGTTTCGCTCTCTTTCTCTTTCCTGCTCTAGTTTGGATTAGTTGGGAGTGGAGGGCCCAGAGGCCAGAGCACCCAGGATTGCTGTTGGGCAGACTCCAGCCTCCTTTGGCAGGAAGTTCCACAGGCTCTGAGGAACTTGTCCCTGTGGAGGAGGGAGGAGCCAGCTCTTTGGAGGAACAGAACCTGGGTTGATGCCAGAGATAAGGCTTGGGGGCGGAGGGAGGGAGAGGGGTTGAGCAACCTTGACTGGAAGCCCTGAGAGCTGACCCAAGCTCAGGTCTTCTGACCTGTGTACCGGAAGGCTTTTCCTAAACCTTGGGAAAAGGGACCAAACCCTTAAGCTCCTGGCAGAGGGTCCCAAAGGCCAGCTCCAGCCGGGACTTATGGGTGCTCTAGAGAGGATAGGCCCTGGCCCTCTCTGGACAAGGGCCCGATAGATGATAGACGTGCTGGGGGTGGGGGTTCCATGTGTGTAGCCGGACATGTCCCTTCTCTGCTTGCAGTATGTTGTGAAGGAAGCTTAATCATTACTTGCCTACATTCCCACTCACTGTGTCCCCGAAGCACCAGCTGGAAACCCACCTCTTGGGGAGACTTGGGCCTCCTTCCATAAAAGGCATCAGAGACGCCCCCAGGCACTGCCAGTTTGCAGCTCTGGCATCCAGAGCCCTCTTTTGCTGGGAATAGGGGCACTGGTGGTCTCCTCTGAGCCTCCTGAGAGGAGGAAGGGTCTTCCTCTTGGGTCAGGTGAGGGCAGTGTGGGGCATGTTCATGAAGGAAGGCTTAGATTTCTTATCCAGCTCTGCACTGCTATTTCTTCCTCATTTCTTCCCCCTGCCCAGGGGCTGAGAGCGTCTGAAAAGCAATAGGGCCAGGGCAAGAGAGATCCCTGGCTTACACTTGGGGGCAGCCTCCAGTCTCCCTGGGGTAGTCTAGGTTCTCCTCAGACCTGTGGCCTGTGTGCACTTCTCATGGGGGCTGAACTCAGTCTGCAGGCTCTGTCAGCTCGGTCCCCTGCCGCCCCATCCTCTTCACCTGCAGGTCCCCACTCAGTGCATCCCTTCCCCATTCCTTGGAATCTTGCCCTTGGTCCTGAAGCATCCAAGGAGGACTGGTGTTCCTCACTTCCCTGTGGGGTTTATGGCTCAATCAAAATAATGGGAGCAGAGACGCTGTGAGCACAAAGAACTCCTCTGGGCTGGCAGCACAGTTCACAGGCACCTCTAAGGAGACTCTGGTTCGGCTCAAGGACCGGGCTGGCTGTGTTTCATTGGGAGGTCGATCATGCTGAGGTTTTGCGCATTTGTTGCAGGAAGCACTTAGGGTTCCCCCACATCCTGTGTTATGGGGGAATGGGAATAGAGTTCTCTTCCCGCCTTCACTTCATTCACCTGGTCCAAGTGGAAGTGAGATAGAGTGTGAGTCCTGCCTGCGAGGAGCCAGGCTCCCTCCCCCGATTCATTGAAGGTGAAAGGGGAGGAGGGAAGGCCCAGTGGGGGAGGACACCCCAGCTCCGCTGCTTGCCCTTTGCTGGTGGGGACTACAGTCTGCCCCTGGCCCTCAGAATCTTGGAGCACCCCCTCCCCCGCCACAGTTCATCATGGGGACCCCCCAAGGACTTGAAAAGGGGTCAGCCCTGGAGCCTTTTGGATTAGGTGTCCTCTGGTAACACTGGGGGTATGTGTCCTGAGTTACTAATGTGTCCTTTCTGAACTTAGGGGAGTGACAGTGGCCAGAGTGTCACTGGAAATGCTACAGTTTTCCTTCTACTCTTCAAGGGACAGGCATAGGGCACCTGCCGAGAGCGAGAACACATCCAGCACCCTCTTCATAGCGCAGCAAACACAGGACGCTCACCACTTATGCATCCACGTGTTAAGGGCTTTACATGTATTAGCTTCTTTAATTCGTACAGTAAGGCTAAGACATGTACAATGTTATCAATCACTTTGAAAGCTAGTGAGGAAACTGAGGCACAAGTAACTTGTCCAATGTGGCTGACAGGCCAGCTCATGTAACCTGGGGAGTCTGGCTTCTGGTCCCTGCTCTTTGCCACCCGCCACTGCCCCCCCCTTCCCCCAACCCCCAACACAACTGCACTCTCTGGCAGGCCCAAGACAGATGCCAGCCTGCTCTAGAGTGAGTCCAGGTCACCCAGCTCCCCCTGGAGACCCCAGAGTGTCCTTTCAGTCCCCACTCCTCAGCTGAGCACTCTGATCTCAGGAGAAGCAAAGTGAAACCAAACCAGGCCTGGCAGATCTGATTTCAAGCCCAGCCGCTTCCTTCTGAGGCCTGGGCAGGAGGGTGAAGCATGGGCCAGTCCCAGATGAGGGAGACCCAGGTGCATGGGGGCAGTGGAGCGCCCCCACCAGGCACCCTTTCCCCTCTCCTGGCTCCCCCTCTGGTAGCTTGTCTCTGGCTAGTTGGCGGCCAGCAGGGGTGGGGGCGGGGCCATCTCCAGGAAGAGCCCTGTAAACAAGCTAAGTTGCGAATGTCCTGAGTCACTGGCTCCTTGTTGCCTTGACTCCTGATTTGTCTCTTCCTGTCACTCCCAGGTCATGGCTCACTCCTTTCTCTTCCCTTACGGAAGCAACTCCCAGATAGTGACGAGAGGGGGCTTTCTCCTTCCCCTCCTGCAGCCTTCCGTCCGCGTCCCCCCGTCCCGTCCCCCCCCCCCTCCCCGGGCCCACAGCCCATGGCTCTGGGGTGAGGAGGGAGGCAGATGCAGGAGCAGAGTGGAGACAGTGGCCCGCTCCCAGCCCAGGAGAAGCAGGGGTTCCCTGTGGGGGTGGAGGGTGCTTTGTATTTCCCAGATTTTTTCTGTACTTTCCCTGGAATGGTGGTGAATGGGGTGACCAGACTAGAGAGGTTTTAACCTGAAATTCTGTGCAAAACTTTGCATCCATAACCTTCATCAAACCTCAGGCCAGGGCCCAACAATGCCTGTGACCCTCCTACCCCCACTGATACAGAAAAAGTAGAAAGGGCCCAGGGTTCCGAATCAGGCAGCCCTGGACTCTTCTCTCTGCTCTGTCCTTAGCAGCCATGTGGCTTGGGCAAATCATCTAACCCTAAGCCTTCTTATGTGCAGGATGGGGGTGATGCCAGTAACTCCATGGGCTTGTTTGGAAGAATGCGTGAGATAAAATCTCTCAAATGCCAGCACAGTGTATTACTTGTAACTTTTTTTAAAAAGCAGTTTGATGAAAATAAAGCTTGGTGCAGAATAAAAGCTCAGTGACACAGTTCCCTTTTTCGTGCTTCCATCATGGCCGTGGTTGGGAGCCAGGAAGCATGTCCACCTCGGGCCCAGAGGTGGGGTCCAGGGTGCCACTTCCCAGAGAGGGTTCCTCGCACCCAGTCTTGGTAGCTCTCTGTCAGAGCCACTGCTGGGAGAGGCTAGCCACAGCTCTCAGTCCACGTTTCAAGAACACAGACAGGTGAGATTAATTTTAATGTTATTTAGCCTAGTATATGCAGAATATTGTAATCAGAAAGATATGAATAAAATATTTTACAGTATCTCTTATACAGAGTTTTCAAAATCCAGTGGGTATTTTACACCCATATCACATCTCGGTTTGGATGCTATTTTCAGCTTCAATCCGAATTTAGACAGAAGTGTACAGTTGAAAAAGTAGATTCACATACTCAAGTTGTTTGAAACACACTTAGGTTTTCCATGTACTAAACCAAACATCAGTTTTCACATTTAAAATAAGTAAAAAGTTGAGTTCCTTAGTCTCACTAGCTACACTTCAAGTGCCCAGAAAGCCCCTTGTGCCTTGTGGCTACTGTCCTGTGGACTGAGGTTTGGAGCATCACTGCAAACACCAGGAACAAGATAAGGATGAGGGGTGGAAGAGGCAGAATTATTATTAGTTGCAGCTGATGCAGAGCCCAAATGATTTAACTGTAAAGTTGACTGAAGTGTATAAGACAGTACAAGTTTAGTAAGGTGGCCATTAAAAATATGTATATATAAAATAAGTAATAGGGAGCATGCAAAACCCGTTCACAGCAGGAGAGCGTAAAATGCCCAGAATATACATGACAAGAAATGTGTAAGGCTCGAAGGAGGAACAACCACAAAATTTAACGGAGAACGTCTGAATGGATGGATGTAAGGACTTGATGTTGTGATAAAGCCAATTCTTCCCGACGTGATTTATGGTTTCCTTTCGATTCCAATATGCTCCCATCAGGATTTCTTTTGGAACTTAATAAAATGTTTTGAAAGTCCATCTGGAAGACTAGCTGAATTAGCAAAGCCAAGAAAATTTTAGAAATAAGTTAAAGGTAAGATATTACCCTATTGGATACTCAAAATGTTTTGCAAAGAGACAGTGCAGACCTAGCACAGGGGTGAACAGAAAAGGGGGTCTGGGATACGCCCGCCCATGTGTGGATCTATGTTATATAAAGACTTTAACGTCTGATGAAGGTAGCATTTGATGTTTAACTCACATAGTAATATAAGGAATCAGTAACATTATTGCTATATTTTAACTTTTTATTTTCTATTTTAAGTGACCCATAATTTTACAAGCTACAGGCATCTCTGGTTTGGTGTATTTCCTTCTAGATTTTTTTTTCTTGGAGTAGCCTTTAATTACCTGATATAGCTTTAGAAGTGTATATTTCCATAAACTTGGGAGTGCGAGTGTCTTTGCTTCAAGATCTTAAAGCCAGAAACCATAAAACAGACTTGACCATGTAAAAATCAGCGCATTCTTGGTGAAAGAAAACAACAAAATTACCATACTGTAAAGGGGAGGATGATAAATTTGTGGAAATCTACAAAATATGGTCAAAAATTTAAATAGCTTTAGTATTTTAAAAAGTCATACACATCCCTTAAAAAGGTGCAAAGACTTGAAGAAGGATTCACAAGAGAAAGGATACGTGGGGGCAATAACACAATTTTCAGAATACTCGGTCACCCTCATCGGTAATCAAAGAAATGCCCATTCCGAATGAGCGCGGTGGGGATTGTGTTGTGTTTTCAAGTCCGTCCTCCTGTGTCGGGCTGTGACTTGGTGAAACCTTCTGGAGAACAAGTTAACAATAAGAAACAAAAGTAATTTTACTCACTTAGAAGTCTGCATCCTCCGGAAATAGCTAAGGACTTGAGCAGACCTAGCTGGAAAGGTATTTGTTACAGAATTCCAACAAAACGGAAACAACCTAGCCTTCACCAGTGGCCCACTGGATAGGAAATACAGGCAGTCAGGATTGAATCTAAAATACTGCAACATGTGTTACTAACATGTTCACGTTTCCACCCAAATGTAAACAATGGCTGGCTTTATTTTATTCGTCGACAGACAGCGGAGAGTCGAGCACGGCTTGTCCAGGAAAGGGGAAAAACGTCTCAAGCGGCACTCTCCAATACAAGTGTTGTGCCAGTCCCGTGGTTAACTGACATTGTTACTAGCTGCATTTTAAAAAGGTAAAACAAAATACATGAAGTTAACATGTTACTTAACTCATTATATTCCATATGTTATCTTAACATGCATGTAATCAATATAAAAACATGAATGAGCTGTTTTAAATTCTCTTTTTTGTTAGAAGTCTTTGAAGGCCAGCGTGTCCCTTTCAGCACCTGTCAATTCGGACTCGCCCAATTGATCTTTAGCCACACAAGGCGGTGGCTGCCTATTGGACAGTGTAGGTGTAAATTATTTAAAGACCCCTAGAGAGGCAGCAGAAAGTAGAAGTTGCTGAGAAGTTCTGGCCTGGACGGTTTCCTTCTTCCCTGAGCAGTAAACCTGGCCCGACAAGAGCCTCGTGTCCTGATGACCTGGGAAGGTTCACGCTCCTCCCCGGTAACACTCCTGCCTCCCTCCCTGCAAGGATGCTGAGAAGTGTATGTTAGCAGCAGTGGGGGGCATGGGCCTTGTTCACTTTCCTTTTCTTCCAGGAGGAGGGACCAAAGCCGGGGGTGTTTCTCTCCAGGAAATGGGATGTGCCTGAGAGTGTGGCTGGGCAGTGGCACCCTTGGGCCAATGGACTTGGTCTGGACTGGCAGGCATGCAGGGAGGGTGGAGCACGCACAGGGCACCCAGGCTGGGAGACTTTGGGGAGAGAGTATGGGTCGGTGTTCTGGTCTTCCTTCTGGGCAGCTGGGAGTACCGAGGAACACAGACTGCCTTTGGGAGCAGGACAGGCAGGGAAAACACGGGACTGCGGCCTTGTGTTGGGCCGCTCCTAAATGTGTGGGCGAGTCCTGGTGCTGCTTCAGGGTGGTCTTCCCCTCTCACCTCCCAGGGAATCAGAACCAGAAGTGGGCGTGAGATCCAGGTCAGAAGGGGCCCATCTGAGCTGTGCCTGGAGCGCTCCCTGCCCCGGTGTGCACATCCTCAGTGTGGCTGTGGACCAGGCTGGAGCGGGGTGACCTCATACAGCAGATCATGTGTTCCATGGTACAACAGAAACGGGTTCAAATCTCCGTTTTGTAGCTGTGAGAGTGAGCAAGGGATATCATGCCTTCTGAGCCTTGGTTTTGCTTCCCGTAAATGGGGGTGTGCATTTATGGTGTCCCAGCACAGCGCCTGGCACGCACCAGGCACCCGGTGACGGGGAACTGCCTACAGCATAGCTTCTGCGCGTGGCTGGGTGGTCGGCTAGCAACTGAAGCAAGGTGGGGGAACGGGGTGCTGGTTGTCCTGCTGTGACCCCCACCCTTCCTTGTGTCCTCTGCTCCCTGCAACTACCAGAAGACCTGAGCTGAGGCTGTAGAAGCCGCAGAAGCAGAACCTTCACCTGCCCAGGGTCTCTCAGACAGGATCCCACTTCAGGGTCACCCTTGTGGGAGGCTGGCCTCCAGCTTAGAGCTTTGGTGTCACTGGGAATTGGCCAGTCTCTGGGGTGGGGGTAGGGAGGATTGTTATCTCTCATCTCCTGCTCAGTGGAGGCGGCTCAAGCACCAGGATGCAGCTGTTGGGGAGCGAGTTCTTTTGGGGGCGTCCTAAGCTCCCTGTTTTCCCTGACACCGGGTTGTTAGAGATTGCCCACTTTCTCCTTGCAGAGAGCATTTAGAATAAAATGAGAATTAATAAACATGTCCAGCCTTGGCAGAGTGGGGGACAAAGTGGGTGGATTCTGGAGGAGAGAGGGAGAAAGAACAGAGTTCAAGGGAAGATTTTTCCAAATGAGAGCGTGGACCTCGACCCCTGCTTGCCCAGCCCCCACTGGCTGCCTTGTACTGAGCCCTGAGAACTGGATAGTTTTAAGCTGGTTTTGAAATTAGAAGATTTTCCTTAAGCCTTTGATGCTTTGGGATTTTAAAGTTATTATTACAGTAGTACTACCACATTAAAGGAAACGTCTTTTTCAAAAGCTTGTTTTCTTCCTCTGAAGCCTGACACCACTCCTGAGTTTCTCCGGTGCCCTTTAAGCCTTCATTCCCGAGTGCGCATCCGCGCGGAGCTGCGCTGCTGTGTGAACCGGGCTCGTTCTGCCTCTTCCCTTCCGCTCGGCGCTGCCGGGGGAAGGGTTTTCCAGGCTGCAGCGTGGTCTGCACAGCTCCCACTTTCCGTGCCCGTGTGACAGCCTGTTCAGTTCACAGCTGATAGAGGTCTCAGCCTTCTCCGTATTGTTGGACGTTAGGTTGTGTCCAGTCTTCTTGCTGTTACGAATAAGGCTTTGGTGAATGTGTGGTGACTTTAATTAAATACTCACTAGAGCAGGTTTCCCACTGTGGAGGTTGTGGAATCACACTCATTTCAAAGCCATTATTGAAAGAAATTGCCATAGTTGCTGATGCCACGTGATCACGCCATCCTGGGGTCATTTCGACTTTGAGCAGCTCTTGGTCCAGGGTCGTGTCCCTTTCTCCCTGCCTGGTGGCACCTAGGGCCCACCGCTTGCTGCGGGGGGAGGTCCTTCCCCCTTCCCTGTGCTAACTCTTATGGGCAAGATGGCAACAGACTTGGGAAAAGTCTAGCCTGGGGCCTGGCAGTGAGTCGGCCCCAGTGTCACCTGGCAAAGGCCTTTAGCTGGGGAGTCAGGAAGCCTGGGCTGGAGCGCCGCCTGGTCACTCGCCAGCCCCATGCCCTCCTGCAGGTTCTTCCCCTGCCCCAGCAGTCGGACCATCTCCAGGGTGTCCTCCATCTCTCAGTCTTGGGGATCGAAAACTGTAGGTGCCATGGACGCCGCGGTGGGAGTCCCGTGACGCCGGGAGCTCTGTTTTAGCAGCCCCAGGGGTGTGCGAGGAAATCCACTGGGCTTCCACCCGTGATGCAGGGCACGTCCCTTCACTCAGTCTCTGGTCTCTGAGAGCACATCGCTCCGCACCCGGGGATTGTAAGGGGATATGGACACGGATACTCGGGGGACAGAAGTTAGAATGGTGATTGCTTGAGTTCCCACCCTGGGCTTTTAAAAATAACTGGTTGTTTGGGCACAGATAATTTTAAGAGTGCTTTTTTAACCTCCTGGTGCAAAAGGACACTTTTCAAATATGAGGGCTTTCAGCAGAACACGTGGAGAAGCTAAAAGACTCTGCGTGTGCTGCAGTCAGCTGGAACCACGGTGCAGCCCCACCGAGCACGGGTCCTCCTGGTGAGGCACACGCAGTGGATCAGGGCATTTCGGTTCTCCTGGTCACATCTGCCCCTGGGCCCCGTCTGCTGCTGGAACAAAACAGTTCCCCAGGACTCCTTATCTTCACAGGATAAGGCTGGAGAGCTTCCCAGAAAGCCTTTTCCTCCTGTGACTAGAGCCTGAGCCCCTCGCCGCTTGGAGAGTCGTGGCCGTGTTACACTGAGTGTCCTGCACAGCCCCTTTAGCGAGCTGTCCCCGCTGACAGGCTGGCAGCGTTAAGGTCTGCCTCATGGGGCCTGTCAGCGTGCCCCTGAGAGGGAAGGCCCACCAGGTGAGACTTACTAGTAGATAGGACGCCTGGGGCTCGAAGTGCCTTGGGGTCCCCTTTGACTCTGTCCTTTCTCTCCTCCGTCTGCCTTCAACTGCTCCTGGTGTCTCTACCTTCAATACATGCCATGAAGGAAGCCCCCCCTTCCCCCAGTCCAGCTCCTTAGTGGCCCCCATGTCCTGGCCTCTTTCCCCTTTGCCCTGAATTCTTGCTCCCCTTCCTTCGTACCTCCAAGGCCAGCTGCCATATGGGAACTTACAAAGATTGGATGACTTGCCTGCTTAGAAGCTGCTACTGGTTGCCCTGTGCACCTAGAACACCACCCAAACCCTCCCTGGTCTCACAGAGAGGGCCCTGGGTTTTCACTCGATTCCTCAAACATCACCAGCTTGCTCCTACTTCTGAGCCTTTGCCTGTGCTGCTCCTTCCACCAGAATGTTCTTGGCGGGCCCCGTTCCTTTTCATCCTTCAGTTCTCAGCTCACAGTGCCCCTTCCTCGGGGGTGGGGCCGGGACTCCAGCCCCTGGTACTCTCTCCTGGGTTCCTTCTTGACAGTGAGGACAGCGAGGCCCTGCTTTATTTACCTGTTTACAGCCTCGCTCCCCACCCAACCCCACTCACCCAGCAAGTGCGCTGGGGAGGTGGGGCTGTGGCCTCTTGTTTTCACTGCTCTGTCTCCCAGGCCCAGAGGAGTATGGGAAAATTGGTGGGCATGCAGTAATCAGAGAGGGGGACAGCGAAAGAAAGAATGAAGGAGAGACAGAGAAAGACATGAAGTCTCTGGCAGTCATTCCAAGCCCTGGATGAAGTTGTGCCCAATGCCCCCTCTGCCCAGCTGTGTTGCTTGGTGCCGGTAGCGGGTAGATGGTCAGAACATCAGGAAACCATGGAGGGGGCTGCACAGTGGCGCTGGGTGCAGAAGCACGCAGACTCTGTGCCAGGGTGAGCTGCGGGTCAGCCGGGAAGCAGGAGGCTGGCTAGGCTGCCCCTGGAGAACTCAGGTCTGTGTCCTGCTGGGGCCAGGCTGCCAGGGACAGGCCACTGCCTGGGACTCGGGACTGTCCGTCCTGTCACTGATCTGGGAGATGGGTAAGTTCCTGTAGTCCCAGGATCGGATTAGAGCCTAGCTGACCTGAGGGTGTAGACCAACCAGGGAATGGACTTCAGTTGCTTTTGCCTCAAAGGAAGGTTCTGTGGTCAGAGGCTCTGAGGGCTGGGCTCTGGTTCCGCCAGAGGCTGGAAGAGTCCGGGAGAGCTGTGAGTGCTGCTGTGGTTTGGGCTCTGCCAGGAGAGTGGAATGTGGCTTCCGGGGTGGGGGCGGGGGGGTTGTTCCGCCCATGACAAGCTCTGGGGAGTGGCTGCCCTGTCCTCTGAAGCCTATTTTAGCCACTTCCCCAGAGCTGAGTTCACGGCACTTAGCAACACCCCCTCCCAAAGCCACAGCTCCTGGGTGGGCACCCAGGCCTCCTGACCTGGCCCCCAGGCCAACCTGGGCCACCTGCTTGTATTTGAGCACCGTGTTCCACCTTCTCACCCCCAGATCGTTCTGTTAGGTGCTTCCGGTGAAGACGTCACCCGGGGACCAACGACAACCCCATGAGTGAGTTCTCTCCAGGCCCCAACTCATGGAAACTTTTCGTGCTGGATGTTGAAGATGGTTTGGCTTTTCACAAGCCACAGAGCCTGATTCTCACCCCCAAGGGGTGAGACCGCAGGCAGCAGAGAGCACTGGCCAGACCTGTCTCTGTCTTCTCGGGGAGTGGGCCACGCAGGCTCCTGGCGATCCCGGGGCTGGTCTGGGGTTCCCGTGCTGGCCCCTGTCACTGCTGCAGAGCCCACCCTTGAGGATGCTACCAGCAGGGGTTAATGGGAGAGCCAGGACCCTCCTGTCCCGTGGCCTTGTGGCCAGGATACCCAGTCCCTATGGGTGGCCGCAGGGGTCTGCATCATCCCCACTGAGCCCTGGGCAGCTGGACCTGCGGTTTCCCTTTATTTCTCCAACACTTAAGGTCTGAAACCACAGGCTCGAAGTTGCTTACTGGGTCTGGGGATTCCTACCAAGACACCGAAACCCTTGCACAGCTCTGACCCTCTACGTCCCCTCCCCCCTCTCTCCCTCCCTTTTTCTTTGTGTTTGTTTACTGTTGTTTACCTGCTTTATTTTCACCTGTGTGTTCTCACGTCTGGGTAACAGTTCTTAACCCAGGGGTCCTGGTGCCCCCCCAGAGGACACTTGGCATTTCTGGGGACATTTTGGTTGTCACAGCTGGGAAAGAGATGCTGTTGGCATCTAGTGGGTAGAAGCTGGGGGTGTCGTTCAACATCTTACTGTGCACAGGACAGCTCGCACCCCAAAGGAAGGTCTGGCTCGAAGTGTTGGAATCTGCTCTAGGGCTATACTAGAACTTTCTCCAGGGAGCAGCCAGGCTCCCCTTTCTCTGGACCACCCCCTCACCCCCACCCCAGCCAGAAGTGGGGAGGGCTGCTCAATTGGTCATGACAGCTGGGCAGTGCTACCCCCTCCCAAAGGCCCAGGGTCGGGTAGGGAGAACGCTGGACCTGGGGTAGCGGTGAGGGCATGACCCCAAGGCTGGTGCTTTTCATGTGTCTAACGTAGGGGTCAGCAATCTGGCCCACCACTAGTTTTTGTAAATAAAGTTTTATTGGTATGCAGCCACACCTATTTGTTCACAGGGAGTCAACCACTGCTCTCCTACTGCAAAGACGGTTGCATAGCTGTGACCAAGACTTTTTTAGCCACAAGGCTGAAAATCTTGACTGTCTGGCCCTCTGTAGAAAATGTTTACTAATCCCTGCTTTAGCTGTTCCTGACTGTTTAGAGCAGGGGCGTCCAGCCCACAGCCCACGGGCCACATGTGGCCGAGGATGGCTAGGAATGCGGCCCAACACAAAATCGAAAGTTGACTTAAAGCCTTTCTTTTGCTCATTAGTGTTTGTGTATTGAATTGTGGCCCAGAGACACCAAAAGGTTGGACAGCCCTGGTTTAGAGGTCAGATCCCAGGGCGTGGGCAGGAGGGTTCAGGCGAGGCGAGGAGAGGCTACATTTCCTAGGGTTTGGTGGGAGGAAGAAGAGGGCGAGGAGGGGGAGCTGCCGGACATAGGGGTCATCTCAAGGCCTTCCAGGACAGTCCTCACTAGGCTCTGAGTGCAGCCCAGGTCACCCACGTGGCAGGGCTGCCCTGGTGCCTGGCTCCAGCCCGGAGAACTGTTTGCTGGAGTGAGGAGCAGTGTGGCTGCCTGGGGGGAGGAGGGGCACTTCCTGGTGGGGGAGCCATGAGGCTGAGCCTCAGCAGCTGGTCAAAGAAGAGAGCGTGGGAGTGGGGTTAGAGGACATGGAGAGGTCAGGCCGAGAGCCCTGGAGCCTGGCTGTAGGCAGAAACGAAGCCAGCACTGTCATTGGCCTTGAGAAGGCAAAAACTGGGGGACGGGAGGCCGGAAGCGTTGGCCTTTCCCACAGGTGTTTGAGACCAACTGTGCCCTGCGCTGCCAGGTGGGGTCCAGCAGTGAGCAGGCCCGTCCGGACACTCCAGAAGCTCCCAGTCCAGTGGGAAAATGACAGCCCAGCCAGCAGGGCTAGAAATATAACTGTGCCTGCTGGGAGAGGGGCCTTCCAAACTGCTGGCGACGGGGAGGTAACTGGCAGGACTTGAGCTGGCTTAAGGACCTTCTCCCAGAAGCGGTGACGTCTCAGCTGAGCCCTGAAGGATGTTGGGTGAGCCAGGTGACAGGGTATTCCAGCGGGGGACTGCACGTGTCCAGTCCTGGGTCTGGGACAGTGTGGGCATAGGAGAGCGGCAAGCAGTAGCATTGAGTGGGCATGCCAGGCCAAGGGATCTGCAGTCCGAGGAGGGTTTTGCTTTAACTAAAAGGTGAAGGATGGACTGGAGAGACACACAGGGTGCAGGGAGACCTGTGGGCTGATGTCAGGGGCTAGGTGGGTTGTGGTGGCCTAGCCGGGGGGCAGTAGCTGGGGGTGAGGAAGAAACGCATGGGGCACCCACAGGTTGAGCTTTACATCTGGAAGACTGGGTCCACATTGAGGGTGCTGTTGAGAACTGTGCTGTTAGCAGGACTGGAGGCCCCACCCCACCACCACCCCACCCGCTGTACTTGATTGAGTTCTTGCACCCATCCCTCCCCACACTGCTCAGTCCTATGCTACTGGGTGTAGCATTTGGGGCAGGTCGCTCCTGAGGGAAAGGGGCTGGTTTGGCTCCAACACTGAACTTCAACTTCTTGCCAGGAGCTGTGTGTGTGGTGCCTCAGGCATTCAGATGGCCCTTTGCCTTTCAATCACCTGGGAGTCTGCAGAGCCCAGGAGACCTAGGTCACCTAGGGTTAGTCCCTGGCCTTCTTGCACCCCTAGGGATTAAAGAAATTGGGAGGCAGCCTTCCAGTCTCGATCTCCCCAACAGGCAGAGGGTGGATCCTTGACAAAGAGCTTGGGGCCCCGAGATGGAGATACCGCAGTCAGGACCCTCATTGAAGTGATGGGAAGGCTGGAGAGCCGGTTGTGCGGATCCCAGCAGCCCCACCCCAATTCTGATTCAGAAAGTGAGCCGGGCCGCCCACAAATGTTGCGGTGCCAGGCAGCATCTCCCCGGGGCCCATTCCGTCTTCTCCCTCTTCTGAGGACGATGACTCAGGTTGAAGTGTCCGGTGACTTCACAGGGATTGAGGTCAGACTCAGGAAGAACTCCCAGCACATCTCCAGACTAGTTGTTCAGAGGAGTCAAGTCAGAGGCTGCGTCTCTTTGCTACACTGCTTTGTGGAATCACACGCGCACGTCCTTAAATGCAGTCCTGCTGGCCCTGGCAGCATCCTGATTGGGAGGAGGTGTGAAGGGGTGGAGAGACATTATTGTCCTCCCGAAGAAAGATCTCTTTCTCTCTCAGGCTTCAGGGAACGCGTGTGTCTCTGTCTGTGCCTCCTTGAACGCCAAACAGATTTGCAAGAAGCACTTCCCTAACCTGAAACCTGTGGATGAAGAAAGAGGCGCGATTATGAAATTGACTGCTGGCTGGGTTCATATTGTTTCATTTTGGTGGGAGCTGGGGTTTGAATAACAGCCTGTAGGCAGATGGGGCTTTTGTGCTGTGAGGCCAGCCCAGGTTAACCCTTTCCTGCTGTTCTCTTCTTGCAGCTCTCTGAGCTCCTCCTCATCGCCCCCTCCACCCGCCAGACTTCAGCTCTGACTCCAGACCTGCCTGCTGCCTTGGGAGGCCCTGCCTCCCTTCCCCCTGGGCAAGATGCCCATCCTCAAGCAGCTGGTGTCCAGCTCCATGCACTCCAAGCGCCGCTCCCGTGTGGACCTCACGGCCGAGATGATCAGCGCCCCGCTGGGCGACTTCCGCCACACCATGCACGTGGGCCGGGCGGGGGACGCCTTTGGAGACACCTCGTTCCTCAACAACAAGGCTGGTGAGCCGGACGGTGAGTCCCTGGATGAACAGGCATCCTCCTCTTCGTCCAAACGCAGCCTCCTGTCCCGGAAGTTTCGGGGCAGCAAGCGGTCACAGTCGGTGACCAGGGGGGACCGGGAGCAGAGGGACATGCTAGGCTCGCTGCGGGACTCGGCCCTGTTTGTCAAGAACGCCATGTCCCTGCCCCAGCTGAACGAGAAGGAGGCTGCCGAAAAGGGCTCCAGCAAGCTGCCCAAGAGCCTGTCGTCCAGCCCTGTGAAGAAGGGGAATGGCGGGGAGGGGGACCAGGAGGCGGCTTGTGTGGAGGGGGTGCCTCGGCGAAACGGAGCCACTGGCCCTCACTCCCCCGACCTCCTTCTGGAGGAAAAGGCCTTCGGGGACCTGACGGACCTGCCCGTCGTGCCCAAGGCCGGCTTCGGGCTGAAGCATGCAGAGTCCATCATGTCCTTCCACATTGACCTGGGGCCCTCCATGCTGGGCGACGTCCTGAGCATCATGGACAAGGAGGAGTGGGAACCAGAGGAGGAGGGTGGCGGTTACCACAGTGACGATGACCTGGGCAGTCTTCTCAAGGCTCCCGCTTCTGTGTCGGGGGTCCCTCTCCGAGCCAGGCAGGAAGGCAGAGCTGGCCGGGACTCACCCCCGCTGTCCCAGGCTCCGCAGGACGAGGGGTGGGCAGCAGCGGCCCCCAGCCCGGGCTCAGCCCGCAGCGTGGGCAGCCACACCACACGGGACAGCAGCTCCCTGTCCAGCTGCACCTCCAGCGTCCTGGAAGAGCGCAGCCCTGCTTTCCGGGGGCCAGACAGGGCCCGGGCCACCCTGTCCAGGCAGCCCGACAAGGAGTTCTCCTTCATGGATGAGGAGGAGGAGGACGAGATCAGAGTGTGAGACCGGAGGAGGTGGGGTTCCACGTTCTTGGCTTCATCTCCCTGCCCCCAGCCCACCACCACCTTCCCCTCCCTATTCAGGGGCAGCCAAGAGCCTGGCTTCTGCCACAGACCCTGGACTTCATGGATGAGGGGCGTTGGCCTCGCCTGGGGGCCCGTGGAGGACTTGAGGAACGTGCCTGGGTGCCGCCTGGGTGCCTGACTTTGTGGCACACCCTGGCCTCCCTGGGCTCTGTAGGACGGTGCTGTGTTCTTGCAGCAGGGATCAGTTTCCTTTTCTCCACTTGGGCCTCAAACAGATGGCGGAGTCAACCTGAGTTCCCGCCCCGCCCCCACAACAATGCAGGTCAGCTCCGGGGCGGTCTTGGCGCCAGGGCTGGGGACGCTGGCTCTCCTCTTCTCTCCTGGAGTTTCTGCTGTGACCTGGCAGCGACTTCCCGGGTAAATGTGTGTCACGGGTGGAACGGGGTGGACACGTGCCCCGGCCCCTCCCTCCCCTGCCTGATCCGTGCACCGGAAGCCTGGAGCCCCTTGGACTAAAGCCGGAGCGAACATGAACACTAAACGCAGCCCCTTCCAGGGGAAAAGAACGGGGTGGGGAGTGGGAGGGAGGCCCCTGCAGGATGATGACACGGGACCGGGCATAGGCGGCGCTCAGCCCCAGGGGGTTCGTTTGTTCTTCCTTGTCATGTGTACGTCTTTCTAGAACAGTATCAGGAACAGGGTTAGCAGGCTTGCCACCAGAGGCAACATCTGGGAGACACCTTATACTCAGTGCTTCCCAGCTTTCATTCAGAATTGCATGGAGTGGGCGTCTGCGGGTGTGGTCCCCCGCCCCCCATCCCCCAAAGCTGTTAACCGCTGACGGCATCCAGTATAGAGTATTTCTGGAAAATGACTTTTTTAAAGTAATATATCTTTCCTGTGGGGGATAAAAGCTTTTTTTGTTTTTTGGACTGAGTTATTACCCCCCTGCCTGCGCCCCCCCCACCCCCTCACTACTTCTCCTTCCTTTCCCAGGCCTCCCTGCCAGCTCGGCCCACTCCCCGACTTCTGAGGCGAGGGCGGGAGGGTCTAGGGACATGGCTGCCAGATTTAGCAACAAAACAAACCGGAAGGTTGAGTTAATGAGAATTTCAGGTATACAAAGGGTAATTTTTCAGCATAAGTGTGCCCTTTTGCCCTATGTGGACGATAACTGACATTAAAAAATTATTTGTTGTTCTTTTGAAATTCAAATATCACTGTGCAGCCTATAACCCTGCCCACAGGGATGGAGCGGGAGCTTGGGTGTGAGCCCCGGGGTGAACTGGTGATTGTTTTCTGTCCTGGGAACTGGCTGACCCACCTCCGCCTGTCCCCTGGCAGCCAGTGGGGGAGGGGCTGACGACGCAGGACCCCGCCAGGCGTGGCTGCCCCCCGCCCGTCTCCTGCCAGATCCTGACTCAGACACAAAGTTCTTCCTCATTTCAGTGCAGGCACCACGTGGGTGCTCAGTTTCAGGGGTGCAGCCCCACGCCGACCTCCACACCCATGCAGCCGGTGGCCAGTTCCAGATTCTGAGCTGTATAGCTGTATATTTTTTCCATGATATTGTTAAAAGAGCGAGGCAACAGTAAAAAAAAAAAAAAAAAGCCCTTTCTTATGTCTGGTGCTCATCTCTGCTTCTGGGGACGGTTATGTCGGGATGCGGGTGGGTGAGGGTGTGGACTGGGTCCTGCCTGTGCCCCCACGGCACTCGGGAGCCTGAGGTGGCTTCTCTCTCAGTCCCTGTGAGGGGGCCTCGCCTCCTGTGGGGCTCTCCACCCTCAGCCTGGGCGGACCTCGGGGGCTCTGGGGTTTTGGTGTCCTAACTGCCACTTACCCATCTAATCTGTCGGGGTCCTTGGGCACTTGTTACTTAGCTGCTGTGTGTGTGCCTCCCTCTCCTCGCCTGCTGAGAGGGGTCCCGCTGCCCCCACAGGGCTGGGCTGCAGACACGGCCCCTGCCAGGGTGTCTGCCGAGTCGTCGTCAAGCCAAAGGAGGTGGTATTCTCACAGGCCGCGGGTGCCGGCAGGCGCGGGATCCGTCCCCAATGGGACACTGCACATGCCTTTTGTGCCATTTGACCTGGAAAGTCAACGTGCAGGCGGCTCATCCCTGTTCTGCCACACAGGCCGGTGAGGTAGACGCTGGTGTCCCCATTTTATGCACCGAGAGGCCACATGGCCACTTTCTCCAAGTCACCAAACAGTAAGAGTCGGAACATTACTGGTTCAAAATGCTCTGGCCTCATCCCTCACGGGCACCTCGAAGCTTCATTACCTGGGAAAGTGAGGTCAGGGGTGTGTCTGCCCTGGGTGGGGACCTGGTGGCTCCCCCACCCATCTCCTGCCCCCACCTTCCCCACTGGCTCTGCTAGCTGGAGCCCCTCACACACCCTGCTCTCCACGTGGGGCCCAGTGTGGCTGAGTTCTGGAAACCCGTCCCAGTCCCCGGCATCTACAGAGAAATTTGGGCTGTGCTCATCTTTTCCCTGGGAGGCAATTAGAAGCATAATTAAAATATCCCTCTGTCCCTAGACTGGCTCATTAGAGCTAATGAGGGATGTGGCTGGAGCCAAAGGTGTGGCGGCCCAGAGGGAGGAGAGGGGGTGGGGCTGGTGTTCACATCCCCAGCCCAGCCCAGCAGGACGGACGGGCCCTGGGGGCCGCAGCCTAGCTCTAGAGGCCACTGCGGAGGAGCGAGTGCAGTGCTCAGCGCGGCCCTGACGGGTGTGGGGAAGCCCCTGAGTGGGGCTGTGCTTCCCAGACAGTGTAAACCCCCCCACTTGGCCGACAACCACTCGTGCAGGATTCTTGAGGGTCTGGGAGGAGCCAGGCACCCCGAGCCCCAGACCTGCTTTTTGGATGGAGAACTTGATGAACTGCTGGCCATTCGGGAAGACCCAGGGGCCTGCAGAGGGATCTTGAGGAGCATGAATTCTGGTCGGGGGCTCCAAGGGCCCACCAGACAACTATGGGATAACCAGGCAGGACGGCCGAGCCTAGCCATAGCACTCTGATCTTGATTTGCTATGTGGCCTCAGGCCAATTATTTTCCCTCTCTGGGCAGCTTCCATTTCTCCGTCTTTAAAATTTGGCACTAGGTCAGTTGTTCTCAACTTTTTACCAGAAGTGTTACTGGCAACAAGGTTGTAGGTTGAAGCCGGATATGTAACAGGCTGAGCCAGAGTTTCCCTGGATGGGGGTGGAGGTAGGGAGTCCTTTCTCCTTTGGTCTCTGAGGTCCACTGGAAAAACTTCACCTTAAAGGTATTCTGTAGGCCCTGTCTACTGCTACAACTCACAGCAGGAGCCAGGAACTGCTTCTGGGTAGTGACATAGTAATTTTAATTCAGACTGCAGCTAACCTTTCCAAAAATGTGAGAGGCCCCCAGCCTCCTGCCCCGGGTGCAGCTGCAGTCAAGACCCCAAGGTGCCTTCGTGTCTCCTGTCCTGGTCCAGCCATTGTGGGGCTTCCCCCTGTTCCCCACCCTTGAGGGGCTCTGCCTCTCTGCCCTTGTGACCGGGGCTGCATCGCCTGTGAGGGCTGACACACCAGGCCCTGATTTCTGTATTGGCCTCACTTCATTCTCGTGGCCACTATGTGAGATCTGCACTCCTTCTGTTACTCCCATTCTACAGATGAAGACACTCGGGCAGCTCAAGGTAAAGGAACTGGCCCTAGACCACTGGGCTAGTTTGGGACCCAGAATGACCAGGTAGGGCCAGTGACCTGGTGGGCAGAACAGTGCAGAGATGCCCAGCTGACAGGCCTGCTGGCCGGGGTGTGCCTGGGGAAAACAGGTGCTTCTTGCTGCAGGTGAGGCGCTGGGAGCTCCAGGCCTCTCTCAGCAACTGCTGCTGATTCGCCTTGTTCCAAGGGCCCTGCAGGTAGTACAAGGGCCAGTGCACTGGGCACAGCTGGCCCTGCCATTCTCAGGGTCACAGGCTGGCTCCATCTCTGCTGAGCAGAGCCAGGGCTCCAGCTGGGCCCCAGCCTCTCAAGCCTTTGGCCTTGGGCCAGTGTTCTGCTGGTGCCCAGGCTGGTCCACCGAGGTACTCACCTTCGACTCCATTCTCACACACTCACACACACCAAGCCAGCCGCTCCTCTTCCCCAGGGTTTGCCATGTTCACCAAAAAGTGACAAAGGGAATAGAAGGCACCCAAACACACGAAGGCAGCGGACTCTCAAGATCTTTACATTTTAGGGTCTGGCTCACCACCCCCCCCACCCCATTTTATAGGGCCTGGGAGAAGACACTGGCCAAAGTCCCACGAGTGGAGCAGAGCAGAGATCGCAAAAGGGACTGGGCTGGCTTTGAGCCAGTGGGTAGTATGGGGCACAGCTGCTCTTTGAGCTGGGTGTGTGGTAGGTTATTGGGGTGGCCAGTGGGGCTGGGGTGGGGTGGTATGCTTCATGCCCCACCCCTCCCTGGCTCAGGCTCACCTCGGCCTTCACCCTCAGCTCCCTGAAGTGCCTGGCTTCCTCCACACTCAGGCACGGCCTCCCTGGCATATCCCCTCCCTTGCCGCGGTCACCAGCACACAAAGACTCTCCGGCTCCCCAGAACTTGACTGAAGATGCAGGAAAGGAACAAAGTTGGGAATAAAAATGGGAGAGTTTGTCTGCTTCCCCTCTGCAGTCTCCTCTAAGCCCTGTGGCCTCCTGCCAGCAGCCAGATGGGAGGTTGGAAAAAACATTTTGGGGAGAGGAAAGGTATTTGCAGGCAGATGGATGCTGGGGGCTTTGCCTCTAAAACCTGGTGCTCTAACTCACCGGTGCTGTTGTTATCCAGGACGAGACTCCCAGGAGGGGCCGGGAGGAGCCAAGGAGAGCCACCTTCCCGGCAGGACTCCAGCCCTGAAATGACTCGGCATGTTAAAAAGCACCCCTCAAGGCCACATGGCTCTGCTGAATTTTGTTTTGTTTTTATGCCCTGCTTTGTTCCAAAAAGGATAGGAGGCAGCTTACAAAAATACACAAATTACAATAGAATAAAAATAGATCAGAGGGAAAATAAAGCCGGAACAAACACGAAAGAACTAAGAGAGTGGCACATGCACTGTTACCAGCGTTCAGACCAGCGGACGGACCCACTGGCAGGGGTGTGCCCGGGAAAAATGTTTCCAGCTTGTGTTATGTGTATGAGAGTGGGTCTCCACCATTCTTACAAGCGGGCTGAAAACTGGGCTCTGAGCTTCCTGTCAGTCAAAGTGAAAAGGGAAACCCACCTGTTATGAGACTCACAATATCCACGAGGTTGAAAGGGTCCCAGAAGCAGCTCAGCTTTTTCAGACACTGCGGTCTGAGTGGATTCTTGTGAGCTCTTTGGAAGGGGTAGGGCTGGGGTTCCAGGCCACGTCCTCAACTACAGTCTCAGTCTTGTAACAGATACGATCATGCAAACCCCAGAAGGCCACTTTTCCGCTCAGTATGAATTGAAGGCTTGAGGCCAAGACACAGATCAATAAAACCGACTCTCGGGAGGCCCAGCCCCAAGCTGTCTAAGTCGTTCACCAAAGACACACGATTTAGATTCTTCCAGAGCAGGGTTTTCCAGCCTCTGCACTATTGACATATGGTGCCAGGCCATCCTGTGTTGTCAGGTTAGGGTTAGAACTGTCTGACAACCCAGGAGTTAGACACATTCATCCAGTCTGGTAGGAGGGGCAGAGTTGGGCATCCGGGCGGAGTCGGGTGCCAGGTGGAGAGGGGTCACAGCAAAGTCTTGTGGACCCTGGCACACAAGTTAGCAGCTGATGGACCCTGGGCATGGGGTGGCAGCGGACAGACCCAGTGAAGCATGCAGGGTGGCTGACTGACCCAGCAGTCCCACATTCGTGCACAGACAAACCAGGTGAAGTTGGGGAGCAAGACAGACCTTGCAGCCCAGGGCCCCAGCTCGGGGAAATAAAGCCTCAAACCACCAATTGAAAACACCTGTGGGGGTTGACGCGCAGGGAGAGACTCTCAGCCTCATAGGAGAATTTCTTGGAGAGACTCACAGGGTCCAAGAACGTACACAAGCCCACCCACCCAGAAATAGCACCAGAAAGGTCCAGTTTGTTTGGGGGAAGTGGTAGAAGGGACTGAAATCCGAGAGGGAGCAGAGCAAGCACCATTGTTCTCTCTCGGACCCCGCCCCCACATACAGTGTCACAACCCAGCAACTGGGCTGACCTGCCCTGGTGAAAACCTAAGGC